GAAGAACTAGATGGTGCCTGGCTACCACCAATGACTGCCCTGACAGAGAACACAACAGAAAGTCCCTGACAGAGCAGGAGAAAAGTGGAGTGCACAACTCAAATTCTAGGAAAAGACCAGACTTAATGGTCTGACTGAGACTAGAGGGATCCTCGAACATATGGCCCCCAGACTCTCTGTTAGCCCAGAACTGAAACCATTCCCAAAGCCAACTCTTTAGACAAAGATTAGACTGGACTATAGGACAAAAAATGATACTCGTGAAGAGAGTGCTTCTTAGCTCAAGTAGATACATGAGATTAAATGGGTAGCTCCTTTCCAGAGACAAGATGAGAAGGGAAAAAGTCACAGCAACTTGCTGAATGGACACAGGAAATCCGGGGTGGATAGGAGGAGTGTGCTGTCACATTATAGGGAGAGCAGCTAGGGTCACATAACAATGTGTGTATAAATTTTTGTATGAGAAACTGACAAGAAATGTAAACGTTCACTTAAAGCACAATTTAAAAAAATCATTTACTTCCAATATTGAGTACAGTCTGAGAGATAAGGAACAAAAGAATCAAGGAAACAAACAAGAAATAATAGGGAAGGAGCCAGCAGATAAGAAGAAAAGATGTACAGATGAATTCAGACAAGGAGACATATGACGGACAAGAGAAAATGATCATGAACCCTTTGAAGCCAGGCACCCAGGCTACGGGGTGGTGGTGGCAGGAGAAAGCATCCCACAACTACACCTGGACCACATGGTCATCACTGCAGTTGAAGAAGGTACCTGATGACAAAACCTTTCCTGCTGAGATGGAGGAAGAAAGTTAGAAAACAAAGATGACAAAAATGAATCAAAAGGGGAAGCTGGAAAGGAAAATGATTGAGATCTGATCTTTTTGTTCTAAATAGGAGGAAAGAAGGAGAATAGAATCCAAAGAGCTTAGAAGAGATGGAGGGATGTAGTGATGAGAGAAGGGTTACCTTGCCCAGGCAGGCAGGGTAGAGAAAGGAGAAGCTGTTGTTTTTGTTAGGTGCCGTCATATCAGTTCCAACTCATAGCAACCCATGTACCGCAAAATGAAACACTGCCTGGCCCTGTGCCATCCTCACAATCATTGTTATGCTTGAGCCCATCGTTGCAGCCACCGTGTCAATCCATATCGTTGAGAGTCTTCCTTTCTTTCGCTGACCCTCTACTTTACCAAGCATGATGTTTCTCTCCAAGGACTGGTCCCTCCTGATAACATGTCCAAAGTACACGGCACGAGGTCTCGCCATCCTTGCTTCTAATGAGCATTCTGACCGTACTTTTTCCAAGACAGATTTGTTTGTTCCTCTGGCAGTCCACAGTACATTCAATATTCTTCACCAACTCCATAATTCAAAGGCATCAACTATTCTTCAGTCTTCCTTATTCACTGTCCAGGTTTCACATGTATACAAGGAGATGGAAAATACCATGGCTTGGGTCAGGCCCACCTTAATCCTCAAAGTGACATCTTTGCTTTTTAACACTTTAAAGAAGTCTTTTGCAGCAGATGTGCCCAATGCAATACGTCATTTGATTTCTTTACTGCTGCTTCTATGGGCACTGATTGTGGATCCAAGTAAAATGAAATCCTTGACAATTTCAATCTTTTCTCCATTTATCATGATGTTGATTATTGTTCCAGTTGTTAGGGTTTTCGTTTTCTTTATGTTGAGGTGTAATCCATACTGAAGGCTGTAGTCTTTGATCTTCATCAGTAAGTGCTTCAAATCCTCTTCAATTTCCACAAGCAAGGTTGTATCATCTGCATATCCTACGTTGTTAATGAGTCTTCCTCCAAGCCTGATGCCGTGCTCTTCTTCATGTAGTCCAGTTTCTGATTATTTGTTCAGTATACAGACTAAGTATGGTGAAAGGATACAACCCTGACACACACCCTTCCTGATTTTAAACCACGCAGTATCCCCTTGTTCTGTTTGAACAGCTGCCTCTTGGTCTATGTATAGGTTCCTCATAAGCACAATTAAGTGTTCTGGAATTCCCATTCTTCACATTATCCATAATTTGTCATGATCCACACAGTTGAATGCTTTTGTATAGTTAATAAAACACAGTTAAACATCTTTCTGGTATTCTCTGCTTTCAGCCAAGATTCATCTGACATCAGCAATGATATCCCTTGTTCCACGTCCTCTTCTGAATCCAGCTTGAATTTCTAGAAGTTCCCTGTCGATGTACTGCTGCAACTGCTTTTGAATTATCTTCAGCGAAATTTTACTTGCATGTGATATTAATGATACTGTTTTATAATTTCTGCACTCGGTTGCATCACCCTTCTTTGGAATGGGACAAAAATGGATCTCTTCCAGTAGGTTGGCCAGGTGGCTGTCTTCCAAATTTCTTGGCATAAGATGAGCAAGCACCTCTAGCACTGCATCCATTTGTTGAAACATCTCAACTGGTATTCTCAATTCCTGAAGCCTTGTTTTTCGCCAGTGCCTTCAGTGCAGCTTGGACCTTTTCCTTCAATATCATCGTCTCCTGATCAGATGCTACCTCCTAAAATGGTTGAACGTTGACCAATTCTTTTTGGTACAGTGACTCTGTGTATTCTTTCCATCTTCTTTTGATGGTTCCTGCGTCGTTCAATATTTTGTCCATAGAAATCTTCAATATTGCAAATTCAGGACTTGAATTTTTTCTACAGTTCTTTCAGTTTGAGAAATGTTGAGTGTGCTCTTTCCCTTTTGGTTTTCTAACTCCAGGTCTTTGCACATGTCATTGTAATACTCTGTCTGCTTCAGCCTGCCTTGAAATCTTCTGTTCAGCTCTTTACTTCATTATTTCTTCCATTCGCTTTAGCTGTTTTATGTTCAAGAGGACGTTTCAGAGTCTCTTCTGACATCCATTTTGGTCTTTTATTTCTTGCCTGTCTGTGTAACGACCTCTTGCTTTCTTCATGTATGATATCCTTGATGTCATTCCACAACTTGTCTGGTCTTTGGTCATTAATGTTCAATGCATCAAATCTATTTCTGGTCTCTAAATTCAGGTGGGATATACTCAAGGTCATATTTTGGCTCTCAATGACTTGTTTTCATTTTCTTCCGCTTCAACTTGAACTAGCATATGAGCAATTGATGGTCTGTTCCACAGTCGACCCTTGGCTTTGTTCTGACATATGATATTGAACTTCTCCATCATCTCGTTCCACAGATGTAGTCAATTTGATTACTGTGTATTTCACCTGGCGACATCCACATGTATAGTCACTGTTTATGTTATTGAAAAAAAGGTATTTGCTATGAATTAAGTCGTTGGTCTTGCAAAATTCTATCATCCAATCTCCAGCGTTGTTTCTATCACCAAGGCCATATTTTCCACTACTGATCCTTCTTTGTTTCCAACTTTTGCATTTCAATCACCAATCATTATCAATATATCCTGACTGAGGGAAAGGAGAGGCTGGAAATATGAAATACCAGTTTAACAGGTCTTATTTATCTTTAATTGAATGAAGAAGAAACAGGGAGGGAGGGAAGGAGGAAAGAAGAAAGAAAACCAGAAGATCTATCCTACACACCACCTCATACACAAGCAGCTGAGAAGTTTTGCTGTCAAGCTCTATGAGGCTCAGTAACATTGCATGGTATGATTTTTAATTGGAAAAAACAAGCTGACTTCAGCTCAATGGAGCTTCAATTTGATAAGCTTAAACACACACACACACACGAACTAGAGAGGCTTAACTGCAAATGAGCAGGGTCTAGATTTCCCAATATAAATCTGCACCTTCCAAAGCTCAATGCCCGCTTGTTTTGGGGAGATATCCCGGTCAAGGAAAGGGCACTGGCACAGGACTCAAAAGGCCTGGAGTCAAGCCCTGGTTCTATCTCTTACTGCCTGAATAACTGGGATTTTTCTTTGAGTCTGTTTTTCGTTTGTATAAGGATATTTGCCCTAACAAACAAGGTTGTTAAAGGAATAAGTAAGTTAATATTAGTGAATATACTTTGTATACTACAAAGCATCACTAAAAGCAGCTACTATGTCTTTATTAATGAATATATCTTTATCAAGGAGTTCCTGGGTGGTGCAAATGGTTAACACACTCTGCTGCTAACCAAAAGGCTGGTGGTTTGAGTCTGCCCAGAGGCACCTCAGAAGAAAAGCCTGGCAATCTACTTCTGAAAAATCAGCCACTGAAAACCCTACAGAGCACAGTTCTACTCTGAAACACATGGGGTCACTATAAGTCAGAGTTGACTCAACAGCAAATGGCTTATCTATATCAAGCACTTCAGAAAAGAAGTAGCAAATTGTGCATAAGGACATTCTTACCATGATACAATTTCATCAAAAATGTATTTCATGTATAAGCTTCTACCATATTTAGAGACCTGTCAGGGCTTAGATCTCTAAGCTGCTTTTATCTTTCTAATAGGGATAAGCTACCACAATAAAAAAATAATTAGCACATAATCGAAAGATGATTACTAATAATTACTGAAAATATGGAGACCAGACATATAAGATGAAGGTGCAGCAGGGGCTGTGATAGAAACGATATGACCAGAAACATGCAAATGAAACAGTGGATAGTGTCCTAAAACTGAGCACTTTAGATCACTGTGACGCTTACTTATTCAGTGCTAAAAATGTTAAGAATAAATATGCTTCCCAACAGACTTTTTCTATATAGCAAACATGATAAAATACAAAATGATAAAAATTAACTTAATTCGACCATCATATATCTTTTATTTTCTAAATAAAATCATATTCTTGTGACCCATAAGGGAAAAAAAAAAAAGTAAGAAGCCATACGCTGAAGGAGATGTCACTGGTATAAGGCTCATACGTGGTAATTCCCATGTATTCATTTTTCAAAGATAATGTGTCCAGGCCAAATGCATATCCTTAGAAATTAGAAAAACTTTTCAATCTCACCAAATGAATAAGAACCACCATCCAAATCACTTAAAGGTAATGTTTTTAGAATTTTTTAATTACTTACAATATCATAAATTTCTCGGTCATCCTCATCAGCTAAGGTCAGTAATGCTATCAGTGGATAGCGAGATCTGGGCACTGTACCAAAGTCTTCAATTTTGGTATCGCTTGGTAACTGGCAATATATTTCTTCTTTGCTGTCCTTTTTAATACTTTTTGAAAATGTAAAGGTAAACTGTCACTATAGTCACTGAAACAATAATATGCTAAAAATGATCAATAATAACTTAGCATCACTTTATTTTATTCATAAAAAGTCGAATGTCCAACATTTTCATGTGCTAATGGGTGTATCAGATAAAAGGATACAAATACTGTTCTTGGTAGAGATATTCACTATACAAAGCATCTTCTAGCGCTTGGGGAGTGCTTATTCTGAAGCAAGAAACGTGTTTCTGCAGAGCTTCATATAATTTTTGAACACTGCACCCCCAGTAGCATGTAAGGAGGCTATCTTCAAGGCAATCTGTTGTCAAGGTTATGCCAGCTGTAGAAAACAAAAGAGAAAATTACCTAATGTAACTTCTAATACAATTATACATGGTAAATAACAAAAGCATCCCTTGGGATGCTGGCCAGGCTGGCAGCAGGTAAAGGCAAAGGGCATGTGCCTGTAAATGAAGGTATTGCCCTCTAAAACAAGAAATAAAAATCTCATGTCTGCCCAATTTTTTAAGCACTATCAGTAAACTTGTTCTTGGAGGATTATTTACACATTTAAACTATCTTCCCCCCCAACCCCCACCAAGGATCTACTGGTGACTGTAAGAGTTATATTCTAAAAATTGAAATATAGTTCATTATTGATAATCTACCCCTCTAACAATGTATATAAAATCCTAACTACAAGAAACAGTACAGCAGAGTACAGCTGTCTCCAATAGTGGATATATACAACTCACAGAGTCCATAAGAAAAAAAAAAGAGCCCTAGTGGCGCAGTAGTTAAGTGCTCGGCTGTTAAGTGAAAGGTCAGCAGTTCGACCCACCAGCTGCTCCACGGGAGAAAGATGTGGCAGTCTGCTTCTGTAAAGATCACAGCCTTGGAAACTCTAAGGGGCAGTTCTACTCTGTCCTACTGGGTCGCTATGAGTTGGAATCAACTTGACGGCAACGGGTTTAGTTTGGTTTCTTTGGTGGAAAAAAGTATTAAAAAGAAATTGAGCTTCACTAATATTAACAAACACTGACAACATTAACACAGACTTTTGTCACACAGTTAGTCCCATGTGGTATATAAAATATCTTGAGGAAAGAGTGAGGATTCCAAACCATGGAGTGTTTAATAGTGATGTCCTCATTCATCTGTTTGCTTTCAGCATAATACAAGATATTACAGTTTGAGTAGACCTGATTAAGTGGATATGTAAACTACAAGTAGACATGTTGTTCTGTGCCACCGAGTCGATTCTGACTCATAGTTACCCTATATGACAGACTAGAACTGCCCCATAGGGTTTTCTTGGCTGTAATCTTTATGGGAGCAGATTGCCAGGTCTTTCTCTCGTGGAGCAGCTGGTGGGTTCGAACCACCAACCTTTCAGTTTGCAGCAGAGCACTTAACTACTAGGCCACCAGGGTTCCCTTAAGTAGGCATACAAATTATATTCTGTAGTTTTACTTATTTAACGCTTACATAAGACTTACTTTATACTACATATATGATTTTTTTCCCCTCCCTAGTGGCAGCTGTAACAATATCATGTTCTAGGGCAGCAACATCCAGAGTCTCATACTGCTGGCAATGCAAGCTGCAACATCTATTGCTCAGTGGCAGCAGTATACTTATTAGACTAAAGGAAAAGGATTTGGTCATTGTTCCTGGCTCAATAGCCTTGGTCTCTTCCTTCTGGTTCTCTAAACCTACTGGCAATTCTGTAAGCTACCCAGTATTCTTTTAGGGGAGTTGTTTTTGTTGCTTGCTGCTAGGAATTCTGATTGATACATTATCTATTTATTAAAATGTGATTAAGAGTATGCCTTGGAAGGAGATACACAAACACAAGCAAATGCTTCACAGGATATCAACAACAGATTGAACTTTTCATACACAAAACACACCTATTTTCCCCCATGCCACTGCAGGACCACACAACATGAAGGAGGAGGAAAATGTTGGAAGTAGACAGGAAAGTGGAAAAAAAGAAAAGGTATATAGGGAAAAAAGTGGAAATAGGAAAAAAAAAGAAAGAAACTCATAAAATATTTAGCAACTAGGGTCACATAACAATGTGGGTATAAATTTTTGTATGAGAAACAAACTTGAACTGTAAACTTTCACTTAATGCACAATTAAAAAAAAAAAAGCCAAAAAGAAAAAGTTACCAAAATAAGAAGCTAGGAAAGAGAGACCTAATAAATATTCAAATACAAAAGAAAAATTATTTAATACTATTGTATTACTGGTAAAAATATGAAAAGATGTATGCATAACGCTATCATTGTAGCACTAGTTACAACAGCAAAATCCTGGACCTAATCCAAATGCCCACAAGGAAGAGTTAAATGAATAAAATGTGGAATACTCCACAATGAAGTAATATGCAGCTATAAAAAAAATAGAAGCATATCAGAATATGTGTACATACTGCTATGGAATGATCTTCAGAATATTTTGTTAAATGAAAATGCAAGGTGTAGAAAAGTATATACAGTATGCAACTGTTTATTTCAAAATGAGGGGTTACTCATATACGTGTATGTTTGTTTATATTAAAAAACAACAACGGAAGGATAAGCCTTTAAAAAAAAAAAAAACCCTCAATTTACAGAATAGATAAAACTACCCACTTTACTTGCTTTGTTTACAGACTTTGTAATACTTGACTAAATGGGGGAGTTTTAGAGACCACTGACCACTGGGTATTAATCAGATTTTAAAATATGCCTGTGAAATTAGTAAGTGAACAAAAAACTGTAAATCTGCAAAATTCTACGCACCACAATCTTTCATAAACTTGCCCATTACACAAACTGAGATGAGAATGCACTGATTTTACACCATGTTCTGATGACAGGTCAAATATCCTTATGCAAAACTATTCTCTTTCCTATTTCTTCTCCTAAGACTTATATTTTTATCCTCACACACATAATACCACATTAGATCAATACTATGAAGAGAATTGGGACACAGCTGTAAACCAGAAAATTCAAAATCACAATTATGTGAAGCATCAAGGGTGTGATTCTGTCAAGCTACTCTTACCCAGTGTTGTGCTAACAGCCCAGTAAGCAGGGTGTAAGAGACATCCTTACAGAAAACTGGGGGCAGGTGTGGGGAGGCCTATATTCAAATGAGTAGAGCCATTAAAAAAAGAGAAATAATGAGGCAGAAAAGCCACACAACTTCTTGAGGAAGAATCTCTGTGAGAAAATAGTTAATATACAAGAACAAGCATAGGAATAATAAAACTGGAGTATTAGGAGACAAAAGCTTCAGGAAATACAGAACGGAGGTTCACAAACTCCTCCAAAAATGCTATGTGTGTTATTTTGCCTCATCCTCTCGCTTTACGGTTAGCTCTTCTTACCAGGGTGAATAAGCTAAAATACAAGGGGGACACTATTTACAGAAGGACAGGAGAATTCCTGAACCCAATTAATTCAACTCAACTAATATATATTGAGTCCCTCTTTTCATTAAAGTGTCTATATTGGGAACATGGAAACATCATAAATCCAAATACAATATCAATACATAACACACACAAAAAATCCATACCCTACAACCCACCCCTAGTAAACAGAACTTGACTAAGATTAAAACTGACGCGCTGGTTTATTTTCAAGTAAATCCTGCCTGCACACCTTCCCCCTTTGTCCCCTGCTACGTGCCAGGCAATGGGGAGCAGAGTAATGAAAAAAGACCTGTTTTTTAAAACTATCTAACATGAAATGAAGTAACCTTTTAAAATGTCCCAATAATCGCTCACAGTATCATTTCAACGTCCTGTTCAGACATCTTTAATGACACCCATTTACCATGGTCTTAAACAAATGAATTTTATTCTGCTGAGTACAACCCCCACCAAAATCCATCTGCTTATTTCCCCATAGGAGACATGTAACAATAATATGCACTGGTATTTTGAAAATTAAAATATTTCAATAAGCATGCTGTAAGGCCACACATGTAAAAAAGAAATTTCATGTACTTGAGCAACACTACTATTGATTAGCACCTAGTGTGTGGGCGTAGCTGAGAGGTCGTCTTCTTACTGGGTATCTTTCACTCGCTTCTAACATTGTCAGGGCTGACTCTATTAAAGACAATTTCTGCCTGAAAGCAAGATTGATGGATTTCCTCATACTTTCTAGCTCACAAGTGCCCTGTGTTTGCTCATGCTCTATCAGCTCTTCCTGCTTTTTCAGTAAATTTCTAGGCTCGTAGAATTGTACTACATGAAGAGCTGCATTGTGCTGGAAGACTTTTTTATTGGCAGTCCTGCTCAAGAGTCAGATGTGGACATTGTAGCAGATCCAAGTCCATGGCCATGGAGGTCAAGGTCACTGAACCACCACTATTCTGTATACTTTAATCAGACTTGTACAAACTTAGTTTTTAAACAAGTTAGTTTTCTCTGTGAAAAGCTTGAAATTTGCTTTTCTCAAATGGAAAATGTCAGAATGAATCCCTATGCACTATTAGAAAAAAATATAAAAAACAAGATTCCTAGTCCAATTCACAGGGTAACTTGGGGTATAGTATTTGCAGCTACGGGGGAAGAATAAGAAATGTACTTTTCCCTGATAATCAAGATTTTCTTAAGGTTGATGATTCACACTAAGTAAACAGATCTTTGACAAGCGATCAGATGCTGGAAGTTAGAGGCAAGAAGATGACTAGATGAGAATAATCATAGAAGCCAAAGGCGCAAGGTGTCAAGAAGGAAGGATTAGTCAACCTTACAAAATATTGCAGAAAGGGCACAAACTCAGGCCTGAGAAACGTCTACTAGATTTGGCGACTGCCGGGGGTCAGAGACGGCAGTGAGGGAGAAGCCACTGGAGAAGCCATTTTAGTACAGGGATGTGGGCAGAGGTGAGACTGCAATGAGGAGTAAAACGGAAGCAGGCTAAATGAAGAAGGCAAGTGTAGAGAGCTTTTAAGAAGCCCAGCCGTGAAGGAAAGAAGAGAAATAGGGCAGTATCTAGAGAACAATGAAAAGCTGAGAAAGTGGTATCTTTGAGATACCAAAAATGTGAGCAGATTTAAAAGGTGATGGGGTCTCAGCCCAGAAAACTTTATAGAACTGTATCTAGAACTACCTACACGATATTTCTACCTGTCACAGTGGCATTTCAAACTCTGGAAGCTTGAATTCATTAAAACTGAACTTGTTATCTTTCTTTCAAAATCTTCTGCTCCTCCTGTATCTTGGTAACCGAATCTGTCTATGGAGGACCCATGCAAAGAGCCTCAGTCTTCCTAGACTATTCTTTCTCACCTGTCCCACCCGAGACTTCATCCATAACAAACTACTTATTCTCTAATGTAGCATTCTGTTTCTCACTTACCTCAGTGCTTTGTTCATGCTTTTCACTCTACCTAGAATCTTCCCCAAACTGAAGAGAGAAACACCTACTTATCTTTGAAAACTCTACTTAAAAAAAAAAAGGAAAAGAAAATATGAGCAAGAGACAGACTTAGCTCCAGCAAATTCTTCTTTTATGAAACCTTATCTGAATACATCTCCCACTTTTGCAAATTTAACCATTTCATTCTTTATAATATATTCCATTCTCTATCAATGGTTCCCAGATGGTTCAGCAGACAACTTATTTTTCCAAGTACATAAACAAACAACTACCATCTGTCATTACCATCTACAAAAAAGTATATTTTATATCAAAATAATTTATACTAAAATACCATAATTTTAGATGATAAGACAATTGTTCTTCAGGGTACCAACCTTAAATTAACAGCACTTAGACATATTACATCATCCTCAGATTTCTCAATTCATTGAAGGCCAATGAAAATGGCACAGTATTCCAAGAAAATGGAACCAGTGTCCTAACAAACTTCTCACATTAACACCTGTGATACTTTACTTGTTTCATTTAAACACACATTTGCCACTGCTTGCTAGTTGGTAACTTCCTTACAAGCAACGTCTGTGAATTATTAGCCTTTGTATCTCCAGTATGCAATCTAGTCCCTCAAACAAAATAGGTGCTCAGTAAGCATTTGCTTAAAGTCTAATGAAGAAACAAGACAAAGGTGCCCGCTCTCACCACTTCTATTCAATACTGTATTAGAAGTCCTACCAGAGAAATAAGACAATAAAAAGAAGTAAAAGATATCCACATTGCAAAAGAAGTAAAATTATCTTTATTTGCTGATGATATGATCCTATATACGGAAAATCCCCAAGAGTCCACAAGAAAACGTCTAGAGCTAATAGAGGAATTTAGCAAAGTTGTTGGGTACAAGGTCAACAAACAAAAATCAGTTGGGTTTCTATACATCAGCAATGAGAAATCAGGGAAACAATTCCATTTACAATAGCAATTAAGAGAATAAAATACCTAGGAATAAATCCGAAGGACGTGAAGGACTTATACGATGAAAACTCTAAAACACTGCTGAAAGAGATTAGAGAAGACTGAATAAATGGAATGATGTTTGAAGTTCATGCACTGGAAGATTTAATATTGTTACGATGTCAATACTACCCAAAGCGACCTATAGATTCAATGCAATCCCAATCAAAATCCCAAAAGCCTTCTTTACAGAAACAGAAAAACCAATCCTCAACTTTATATGGAATGGCAAGAGGCCCCGAATAGCTAAAGCAGTGTTGAAAGAGACAAAGTAGAAGGACTCACACTTCCTGATTTTAAAATGTACTACACAGCCACAGTAATCAAAACAGCCTGGTATTGGTGTAACAGTAGTCACAGACCAATGGAAGAGGATTGAGAGTCCAGAAATAAACCCACACATCTATGGTCAACTGATTTTTGACAAGGGTGCTAAGTCCATCTGATGGAGAAAGAAGAGTCTCTTCAATAAATGGTGCTAGGAAAATTGGATTTCCACATGCAGAAAAATGAAACAGGATCCATGCCTCACACCATACATAAAAACAAATTCTAAATGGATTAAGGACTTAAATGTGCAAATTAAAACCATAATTCTTAGAAGAAAAAGCACAGGCAATGCTGTCAGGCTTAGCTTTTAAAAATGGATTATCTAATATAATAACAAAAGCACAAACAGCAAAAGACAAAATAAATAAATGGGACCTCATACAAATTAAAACCTTTTGTTCATCAAAAGACTACCGAAAAAGTGAAAAGATAAGCCACTGACTGGGAGAATATCTTTGGAAACCATATATCTGACAAGAATCTAATAACCAAAATATACATAAAACTTCAACAACAACAAAAAGATAAATAACCCAATCATAAAATGGGCAAAGGATCTGAATAGACATTTCTCCAAAGAGGACATTTAAATGGCCACCAAACACATGAAAAGATGGTCAGTGTCATTAGCAATGAGAGAGGTGCAAATCAAAATCAGAGTGAGATACCATTTCACTCTCACTAGGATGGGTAAGATTGAAAAAAAAAAAAACAAAAACAGAAAATAACAAATGTTGACGAGGATGTGGGGAAACTGGAACTCTTACCCAGTGCTGGTGGGAATGCAAAATGGTACAGTTGTTGTGGAATAACAGTGTGGCAGTCCCTCAAAAAACTGAAAACAGAACTACCCTATGACCCAGCAATTCCACTCCTAGGTATATACCGAAAAGACTTGAAAGCAGAGACTCAAACAGAGATCTGGAAATCAGTGTTCACTGCAGCACTATTCATAATAGCCAAAAGATGGAAACAATATAAGTGCTCATCAACAGATGAACAGATAAACAAATTGTGGTACAAAGGAATACAACTCAGCCAGTAGGCGAAATGATGTCCTGATACATGCCACAATATGGATAGAGCTGGAAGACATTATGCTGAGTAAAATAAGTCAATCACAAAAGGACAAATATTGGTGGAAATGCAAATATATATCACTTACATAAAAAGACCAAGAAAAGGCAAATGTACAGAGACCAAAGTTTATTAGTGGTTACCAGGGGCGGAAGGGAAGGGGAAACAAGGAGTTAACAGCAATAGAAATAAGGCATTGATTAAGGGTGGGGTTGCACAACCAATTATTGTGATTGCTGTCAATAAGTTGTACATCTGTAAAAAGTTCAACTGGCAAAAGTTATGTGATAGCTAATATTTACAACTATAACAACAACAACAACAAAAGAGTAGCTGCTGAGTCTGCTTATGTACAACCAAAAACCTCATGGGATTTGGTTTCTTGGTTTGCAGGTATACGGTCATGGTTTTATGGGACATCCCAGGTAACTGGCCTAAGAACATGTTTAGTGCTTCTGTTCTACCTGCTAGTTCACTGCATAGTGCCTGGGGTCTTAAAAGCTTGAAAGCAGCCATTCAAGGCACAACAATTAGTCTCTATTCACCTGTAGCAACAGAGGAAGAAGGAGAGTCAGGAAGAGGAGGAGGATATGGAATGCGTGGTTATTTGCCTCCATGAACAACTGCCTCCTTTGCCATGAGACCAGAAGAACTGGATGGAGCTCAGCGACCTTTACTGAACATTTTGATCAAAAATTCTATAGAAGAATCCTGATCAAAAGGGGGAAAATGCAGAATAGAATTTCAAACTCTCATGGACTCTAGACTTCTTGGAATCATGGAGGTTGGATGAACCCCTGAAACTACTGCCCTGAGATAATCTTTAAACCTTAAACCAAAAATATCCCCTGAAGTCTTCTTAAAACCAAACAACAGATTAGCTTAATTAGTAAAAAATGCCTGCCTTGAGCATTATGCTCTTTTAAGAACTGTATATAGGATCAAGTTGATAACAGTAACTCAAAAGATTAGATAGGAACCTTAGGGGGCAGTGAATTTATGTTAATGGAGGAACAACTCAGAAAAGGAGGGTGAGAATGGTTGCACAACTCGAAGAATGTAATCAATGTCACTAAATGGTACATGTAGAAACTGTTGACTTGGTTATGTTTTGTTGTGTATATTCTCAACAAAAACAAAATTTTAAAAATTTTTTTAAAAAAGTCCAATGAAGAGAAAAATCACGAGGAAAGAAAATAAAAGAGCTAAGAAAAGGGCATACAACGAGAGAAAAATTTTTGGGAAATAATTTAGCTACCAACTTGTGATTGAAGCTGAAGATGGGTTGGTGATCTCTAAGCCGAAAGGATTTTTGACTTGTTTCATTTGCTTTTTGAAAACTCTTGTGCTGAACTGGGTCTCTTCTGAATTTCTCAGAATCACTGGAACATCCCAACCAAACCTGAAGAAAGGTAAAAAATAAAACATAATTTAAACAAATGTTGGAACTTTGTTGTATGTATAGTATGTTGTGCTTCATTAGCTATTTTAATATAAGTTTCAGAAAAAGATGTTAAATTACTCTCTATAACTGCATTATATCACAGAATTAACTTAGAATTAAGGGAGAGTGATGGCCCAAAGAATTGCAATATATTGTTCAGCTGGTTGATTCAACATAGTCTTGAAAACAAAGAGTTCTATCGTTACTATTACAATACTGTTGATAACAAAGGAGTACAGTGATTATCAATAAATTATACTTAATATAACAGTAAAAATATGACACCAATTATTGAATTTTTTAGATGACATAAAAAGCAAATACATATTTAATATGCAGACTATTTGATATTATTTATGAGATAAGAAATTTTTAAAATAATATAGTCCCTCATTTACATGTTATATCTTCTACTTATAAATTTCATGTAAAAATACAAACTCTGACAATGTATACTGAACAGACTTAGAAGGAAAATGAAAGAGACTAAACTCAATTCCTAGTAAGATTAAAAAGCAGCTAAGTTTATTCAATTTAAAAAGAATATATACTAGTTAAACTAGGGGAATTCAGGTTAAGATGGTACAGTCACGTTCGTATTTTGATGTACCACCTTTTCTCCAAATGTATAGCAGTGACAGACAAAAAATTAAAATGTAATAAAAAAGACCTCACTGAAATGAGTAAACAAACAGTGGAACAGTAGTACTCAGCAATGAAAAGGAACAAACTATTGATCCAAAAACATGGATAAATCTCAAAAACATCATGCTGTACAAAAGAAGCCTTACACAGAAGAGTATAAACTGTCTGATTCCATGGATATGAAATTCTAGAGCAGGCAAAACTAATCTGTGGGAGAAATAAGAAACAGAACAACAGTTGCTTCTGGGGGTGCAGGGATAGGGATTGGCTGGGAAAGGGCATAAGGGAACTTTCTGTAGTGATGGGAGTCTTCTATATCTTGATAGAGGTTTGAGTTGTATAGATGATACATTTGTTAACACTCAGCAAATGGTACTTTAAGATTTGTACATTTCACTGTATGTAAATATTACCTCAAAAAAAGAGAGAGAGAACAATAAATATTGAACTCCCGATAATATGCAATGCTGAAGTACTTATGGTAAATTAAGTGTACAACTTACTTTTAAGTGCATCAAAAAATAAGATGGATTAATGGATGGATAAGGATGGATGAATGGACAGGTATGTAATAAAGACATTACGGTAAAATATTAATTGTAGAATTTACGTGATGGGCATATGAGTATTCACTGTATTGTTTCAAATTTTCTGTGTTTAAATTTTTTATAATAAAATACTGGAAAAAGAGATCTAGCTGAGCTCAAAGACAAATCACTGCATGGACCTGAAAAGCAAAAGAAATACAAAGTAATGAGTGAGGCTGATGCCAAGGTTTGGTGAATTCTGAGTCTGATAGTAGGCAGTGGCAGCTAAGCCCTCACATTGTAAGCGGGACTTATAGGCTGTCCATTCAAGACAGGGGCCAGAGACAATATAAATATGGAGTAGAACTGTCATTATAAGACCTGCTACTGGACTAGTGATATAGGAATCTGGGTGGAGGCAAATGCAAAATAGGGAGACAGCTAGAGTGAGGACAAAGGGAGAAAAAGAAAAAAATAATAACAACCTTCCACTAAAATTTAGGTTGCAAACTAAAATTTCAAAACACACAAATAAATTTAATGCTAAGAAAGCAAGCCAATAAAATTAACAATTGGAATAAAAATTCACTCTAGATAAATTAAATTGTATAGACTAATTGGAGAAGGATATTTGGGTCCTGCCTAACAATGCTGAAAAGCAAACCTTTAAAGGGTCAAACTGTTTTCAAGTAACTTAACTGCACCTCAGAACAAAGCTCGAAAACATTTATAAGAATACAAAAATATCCAGCACCCAATACGGTAAAATTCACAATGGTTAGTCCTCAATCAAATATTATCAGGCAACCAAAAAAGCAGGAAAATATGACCCATAATGAAGAGAAAAACTAAAGAATACACACACTCAGAAATAATACCAATATGCTGTGAAACAAGTTCCCTGATACGACCTTTTGCCTTGGTTCTTTGGGAAAAAAGCTTGAGAGATTTTTCCCCTAAGCCTGAGGAGTTACCTCTTCCCTTGTTTTCCACCCCAGAGGGTTTGTTACATTTCCTGGGTAAGTTGTAAACAAGTTGGTTTGATACTTTTCCTCTGGTGCTGGGCTGCAGCCTGCCTTGTGACTGGTATGCACCTTGCAGGGACTGGTCAATATACTATGCAAAAGAAGTGACTATGGACTATGCAAATGATGTGACTATAGCCTACTATGCAAATGAAGTATTTCTGGCCTACTGAGAGGGGACTGGTTAGTTTGTGGCCCCTGCTGGGAGAGGCCATGCCTTGACATTGACAAGAAGTTGTGCACATATGCAGCCAACCCCACAGAAGTTTTTCAGACAAAAAAAAACAAGAAGTGGACAAAAACATAAGGAAGAAAGAAGAGAAAAGCGGAGAGGAGGTAAGGAACCCTCTAAAAGAGCTATAACACGAGTCAAGGGCTCTAACACTGAAGACAGTGACAGATGTGGAAGGACCCCTGTGGCAGAGCAGGTGGCGACAGCCCTGGAAGGGGCACAGCAACAGAGCCGGCGGTGACAGGCCTGGAAGGGGCATGCAGCAGAGTCAGTGTGACAGACAGCAGGGCCAAGAGGAGTCTGTCCTGAGGGGACCGAGGGGAAACTGACCTGAGGGGGCTGAGAGGAGCCTGACCTGAGGGGGCCAGGAAGAAGCCTGTCCCCTGGGGGCTGATAGGAGGCCTGTTCCAAGGAGGCTGAAAGGAAGCCTATACTCAAGGGGCCAAGAAGAGGCCTGTCCTGAGAAGGCCGAGAGGAGGTCTGTCCAGAGAAGACTGGGAAGAGCCTGTCCTGAGGGGGCTGAGAAGAAGCCTATCCTGAGGGAGTCAAAAGGAGGGCTGTCCTGAGGAGGCTGAGAGGAAGCCTGTTCTCAGAGGGCTGAGAAGAAGCCTGTCCTCCAGGGCCGAGAGGAGGCCTGTCCTGAGGGAGCTGAGAGAAGGCCTGCACAGCTGAGAGAAGGAGTGCATAGCAGAGAGAAGGGCCTGCTTGCTTGCACAGCTAAGAGGAGCTGAGAGAGCTGTCCCTCACTGAAGAAGGGAGGGATGTATTCTCCTCTTCAGGGGAGTCTCCCAGACTTTGCCTGAGTGCTTCCTGATCCTGATCCTGAATTGTAGCCTGTTGATTCTGATCCTGAGTTGTACGCTGTTGTTTCCTTAATAAACCATTTACCTGTAAGTATGGTTTCTGAGTTCTGTGTGGCCACTGCAATGGATTAGCAAACCCAGAAGAGAAGTAGAGAGTGCCGTGGGAGAGATGGCTGGTGTCAGAATTGGTAAAAAAGTTGGAGAGCGGAGGTATGTCTGATCTCCACCTAACAGGGAACAGCCTTGAGCTGATCTTGATTCGGATTATCCCCCCTGAAGTTAGACAGATTATGATGCTACTACTACTACCCTATTACAAGATGCCAGAACATGTGGACAAGAACATTAAAATAATTGTTATAACTATATTCCATATACTCAAAAAAGTAAAGATTGAACTTGTAGAGACATGAGAGATAAAGGGAAGACCCTAATCAACTTCTAGAGATTAAAAATACAATATTTGGGATGAAAAATACACTTCAGTGACTGAATAAACAAGCATGCAATGGCCAGACCATATATAAAGACAGAACTCCGACCCACAGCCTGCAGCATCCAGCCCAGGAAGTCAAACCACTATCTGCAGCTACCAGTCCAGGAAGCCAAACAACAATCACTGTAATAATGAACCCAAAATGGCCAGGACTTGATCAACAACTGATAGCTTCCTTAATTTTTGTTTCCGCTTTCAACCACAGACCATTCAGAGAAAGCCAAATATTCTCCCCTAACCAATCACACAGATGTCTTGTTTCTAGTTGGCCCAGCTCCAACTTCCCCATGCCAACAGCCTCCAATCAGACCATACCTGAAGCCTTCCCTGTTTTCCGCTATAAAGCTTTCCTACTCTCTTACCTGCCTTTGAGTCTCTATCAAACACAATTGATGGTGGCTGACTCCCTTACTATAGCAAGCTCTGAGTAAATAGCCTTTGTTTGTTCTTATTTGGGTGTGGTTGAAAGCACCTGGCTGCTAACAGAAAGGTCGTCACTTTGAACCCACAAGCCGCTCCCCAGGAGAAAGATGTAGCAGTCTGCTTCCATAAAGATTTACAGCCTTGGAAATCCTATGGGGCAGTTTTACTCTGCCCTATAGAGTCGCTATGAGTTGGAATTGGCTTGATGGCAATGGGTTTGGTTTCTTGGGTTTTTGTCTGCTTCTGCACACTAGATGAAATTAACAAAAAGACACTGTATAACAGATGATTAGCAATCTTGAAGACACAGAAATAGAAAGTATCCAAAATGAAACACAGAGAAAAAGAAGACTGAACTAAAATGAACAAAACATCAGGGAGCTGAAGGACAATTTCCAGCAGCACTATTTGTCCCAACAGATGGGACAAATACATGTAGTAAGTTTGCAGAGTAGGGGCAGTGAACAGAAAAAACATTCGAACATATAATAGCTGACAATTTTCCAAATCTACTGAAAACTACAAATCCACAGATCCAAGAAGCTCAATGAACCCTAAGCACAAGAAACAAACCAAATTCCACTAAGGTACATGTCATGGATTGAATTATGTCCCCCAAAAAATGTGTGTATCAATTTGGCCCTCTATGATGTTAATGAGGGAGGATGGGTGGCAGTTGTGTTAGTAAGGCAGGACTCAATCTACAAGATTGGATTGTGTCCTGAGGCAATCTCTTGAGACAGAAAAGAGAGAAGTGAGCAGAGAGACAGGGGGACCTCAAACCACCAAGAAAGCAGTGCCGGGAGC